GGATTTTCTTTAAAATTTTATAACTTTGTTACTTTTTAAGGTATCTACTTCAAACTTCAAAAATATTACTTCTTATCATTACGATACATGTTGTGTGACAAGGTTGCATAACTCTAGTGTGACTATTTCCTAGAATTATTTCCCCCTTGATCTTGGAATATATTTTAAAAACAAATGTTTATTTTTACTATAACTTAATACATAATTATACATAATTGATTTTTCTTTCATAGTTTTGTCCTCCTTACTGCGTCCAGTATTTTATTAGTCGAGCTTGGCTGTCTCCTGTGACAGCTCTTGTTGTTCCATGTCGCGCTTTGAGGGTACCTATGTGTTAAAAAATGAGAGGGTACTTGTGATATAAAAATTCAAATGAAGACAGGTAGCCCGTGCCGCTGCAAAAACGGAAAGTAGGGTGTTTTTATGAATTTTTTTCATTTATTTTTTGACAATAATTATATACTGCCATTTGTCGGAAGATGATATGAAATCAATGAACATAATTAAATATGTATGATGCATATATAATCAAGCCCACATGTTCATTTCAGCCCGAACAATTACATGTCGAGTGATGGACGAGACAAGACATGTCGATTTTTTGTAGCTTAGTTGTGAAGTTGTGAACATGAAAATCGGGCACATGACAAATCAGCACATAATTAAAAACATTCTAGTGTTCCGTGGTATACATCTTTTCTACATGTCATACCTCCTTTCCTTATTACAATGAAAATTTAACTGGATTGTTATCCATCGCTGGTTTGTTTTTAGCAGAGAATGACCTGTGTATGTTCAGAGAGGGTACCGTTTGAGCAGATTTCGCAAAAAGGGTACCGATATGGATATGCACGTGATGTTTGTTTTAAAAAACTTTTCAGACAACGAGCATGCTTAATGAAGAAACTCCCAATGATTTTTAAAGCACCGTTTTTATATGAAGATGAACAAGCGGTAAAAAAACACCTCCATCATGGAGCTAAATCTATGCCTCCATATATTGGTTGTCGTGAGTTCTTGACACCATCTTTTTTGTAAGAATTCTGCCCACGTTCTTTGTTAATTGAGTATTGGTGAAAAGAGGCATTTAAGACATAAGCCGATTTAGGCAGTACAAGTGAATGCACTTTATTCAAGCAGCTAAAGCAGCTGAACACCACCAAACATGGGTTGTAGTCTTTGTTTTACAAAAAAAAAACAAACAAAATACATATACACATACTGTCATACATATATTGTTTTTCAGACCCATATTCACCAGAAATTTGAAAATTTGCATGTTTATACATATCGTCATTGATGTTTCAAGCCAACATAGTTCATGTCTTACATTGATATCAATTTTAAACGTCTTTTTCCAGTTTTCATCTTCCTCCGTTTTAAGTCGTACATATGTATACATTTTAGGAAAATCAGACATCTAGATGCGGTTTGTCACCAAAGCCAAGAAGATTTTATATACAAAAACACAACCATACATCCATTTGCTTGTTGTCATTGTTTACATATGACTTTCCCTAGTGATTTAAAAATCTGCTATGTCTACAATTGGACTTATATAAATTCATTGAAAGTAAAAACGATACTCACACACACGCGCACACACACAAACACACGCACGCGCGCACGCACGCACACACACACACACACACACACACACACACACACACACACACACACACACACACACACACACACACACATGTCGACATTGCTGATGAAAACCAACATAGTTCAAGTATTATATTGATTTAGATTTTAAACGGTATTTTCCAGTTTTCTTCTTCCGTCTTAAGAAGTACACATTAAGGGAAAATTGAGACATTAAAATGCCGACATAAACACTTGTCTATGGATAAACCATGGATTCAATCCACAAGTTTTCATTTATTCTCCCCCCCTACCCCCATCTTATGCTTTATTAACCGATTCAAACCACATTCAAGCCCAATTTATGCAGTGTTAGTTGTAATAAACACTCCTTTTCCAAAGCAAGTACATGTAAATGTAAGTTATGTATTGCACTTCAGTCAGGCATCGAAAGCAGTTGACCTCCAAAAGCGGGTTGTCATTTTACCCAAATTTACATGTTTCTTAACGTAATCTTAGCTTATTAAGTACATGTTATACCAGAAGATTGTAAAGTAAATGTATATACAAGTAGATTTTAAAATTTTAAACCCGCAACCTTACATCCGTATATTGGTTGTTAACATAATTGTCACTGTTTTCACAACCTCATTTTATGAATTCAAAAAGTTCGCTATTCATAAACTTGCCCTTGTTTGCATTATTATATAAAATGGCTAAACACGTAATAGAATAAATAAAGTGGATATACATGATCATAAGATTTCTCCACATCCAGATACTGGCTGTCAGAATTGCATTTAACAATGCACTTTTCTAATTTAGATAGCACTTTATACAGGTACTGGGGCAGGTGACCTCCATACACGGGTTGTTGTCTTTTTACCCAAGACAAACTATTTTATTGGTGTAATTGGTTGAATCCTTTAAAAATTGGTTTGCCTTCACCTCAAATGTCGACAATTTATGTAAATTCACTTAATGATAGTCATATCATAATGTGTCGCTCCTGGATGACGCTGGAAGAGCCTAGATTGACCCATGCAGAGCCCCGGTCGGTCCAGGCAGAGCCCAGGACGATCCAGACAGAGCCCCCTAAGCTAGAATCCCAGTGGATTGAAAACGCGCGAGAACATGATTACATGATTACATTGATCAATACATAATTGTATTTAATATAAAGAACAGTAATGCATGGTGATTTTCTGAAAAATCCTTACGCAAGACTGGATAGAATGGAAATGGGAAGGGTAAACAAACAAGTGCCAATATCATCGCAAATTGTCGTGGTTCTTTTGGAATCAAACCGGACTTTATCGGGCTCTACCGGGATCAACCTTAGCTCCATCGTCATCCTCCGGGCTCTGACTGCATTCTCCGAGGCTCTGCTGGCATTCTCCGGGGCTCTGCCAGCATTCACAAGGGCTCTGCTGTACGTAGCTCTACCGGCTATATCATACCTCGGATCATACCCGGTTTTTGCCGACAGAGCTATGGTGCTTCCCCGGTGTAACCCCGGTCGTTCCCGGCAGGGCAAAGCTATACTCCCCGGGTTATCACGGACCACCCCGGTGATATTAATTTTTTTTTTTATTTCCGGGGTCGAATGCTAGATGTACCAGGATCATCCCGGACGTTGCTGGCAGAGTTATGGATGTATTCCGGCCGTTCCCAGATCACCTGGACGTCTACCGGGGCTTTGCCGGGATGTAAGTGAGACTGTAGCTTAAATTATGTACTGCACTTCAGTCAGGCATCGAAGCAGTTGACCTCCAAAAGCGGGTTGTCCTTTTACCCAAATTTACATGTTCTTAACGTAATCTTAGCTTATTAAGTACATGTTATACCAGAAGATTGTAAAGTAAATGTATATACATGTAGATTTTAAAATTTTAAACCCGCAGACCTTACATCCGTATATTGGTTGTTAACATAATTGTCAATATTTTCATAACCTCATTTATGAATCAAAAGTTCACTATTCCTAAACTTGCATTATTTGTAAAAAAGAAGGTTCATATAATGGCTATACACGTAATAGAATAAATGGAGTTAATATACAAGTAAAGAACATGATTTTATATTCAGACATTAAACTTGTCTACATCCAGATACTGGCTGTCAGAATTGCATTTAACAATGCACTTTTCTAGGGTTACATCATTCAGTTTACAGTCTAACCCGGTAGGCTATACACTTTATATGATCGTATAAGGGTATAAAAAGATGAACCTCCATATATTGGTTGTCGTCATTGATATATAATTATACTCTATCAGATTATGGGCGAACTGTTTTTCATGTTTAATTATTACAGGTAACATGCGTTAGGGGTGTAATTGATTACCTACAATTACTTATTATTGGTGATACATTCGGAAGCATGTATACCGCTTATCTCTATTTCCGCGGTACTAAGTATTCATATTAATATGGCGAAATTAAAAACAACTTACCTTCTTTATTCTAGTCTAATACTTTAAATTTCATATGTTTTCATTCATAATCTTGGTCAATTTCCATTCAAAAACTTTTCAGTATCATCAAATGTTTTGAAAATATAAAGTGTAGGCAGCCATTTTGAACTCTTACGTCATATCACAGTTTCCGCGGTAATTAGGTCAAGTGCAGTAAAACACTGTCATAGGTTAATTAACACTAAATGTTACATACACACAGTCATTCATGTTCTCTCACTTACTTAAATAAATGTTCAACTGTTATTAAAAATTAACTTTAACTGTTTAAAACTATCTGTAACAATGAACTGTCTCATGAATTATTCTTCTGGGCAGTGAACACACCTAAATGTGCTGCCTCTTCTAAGAACCCTGACCTCAGTGCAATAGGTTAAATGGACCCAGTGGCCACAAAAATCACATTGGCCCCATTTCACAATTACTAGGGAGGTACATCCTCTTAACTGGGACGGAAAACTCTCTTTACATACGCAACATGGCTCGTCTGTATCAGACCCTTCATCTGAGGATGAATAAACATCAATTGGGGCTCCTTTACTTTTTGTTACACCAGATGTTGATGGCTTTGGTGAAGAGTAAGCAACTGTAGCAGGTTTGATTTTTCTGTCTGCAGGCTTACTTTTTTTCAGTGATTTTGCCTTGTTCGTGTTTTCTGTGAGTCTTTTTTCATGCTGGGACTTTATTGTTTCCATATTTTGTTCAGACAAAAGATTTCCCGAAACTTTAATTGGTGGCACAAACTTCTTTTTCGGCCTCTGAACAACAGAAGTGATTTTTCTGCTGTCAAAAAATTCTACAACTTTTGTATTGATATCGGATGATTCGTTTACATTTTTCATAGTAACAGTACTAGTGTCATTGACATTATCTGAGCTGTTCTCTGTATCTTTTGTTGTGTTATATATAGAAGCAGGTGCTGTCTGTGTCTCATTTACCATCTCCTTATCAAAAGGATATATTCCTGCTTTTCTAAAAGAGGAGATGACATTTTCTGGTGAAAAGGCTCTGGCATAAGGCTTTGCAGTGAGCTTTGCTATTTCATACTTTGTAATACTCATGCCTGGATTGCTGTGCATGTAGGTCTTACATTCTCTGTAAAAATACTTTTTCATAGGGCCAAATACACCAACATCAAGTGGTTGGGTCAGGTGGCTGCTATGTGGTGGGAGCACAAAAAGAATTACATTATGCTCTTTTGCCCAGTTTGTAAGGGTTAGTGACAAATGGGACTTGTGTCCATCATATAATATTAGTGTTGCTGGCTCATTTTTATCTTTACTAAGTCCAACATATTTTGAAAAGTGGTTGATTATGTATGTTTCAAATATGCCCCTATTAACCCAACCACTTTCTGACATTCCTGCTGATGAACCAGGCAAACAATCTGTCATTAAATCGTCGTTCCATCTTTTTCCTGGGAAAATGTAATATGGCGGTACATAGTTTCCTATGGCACTGGCACACCCAATCACGGTTACATTTTTTGTTCGTGATGATGTCACACTTTGGGCTTTAGAATCTTTTCCACAAACTATTTTTGGTGGGGTATGCTCTGTAGAAAAGCCAGATTCATCTACATTGAAAATTCTTTCAGGGGAATGAAGCAAATGGTTTTCTTTCAATACAAATTCTAGTTCACAAAAGTATTTGGATATAGTTTCTCTTGATGCACATTTTGCCCTTGACATCCCTAATTTTTGGGGAGAAACAACCTTCAGTTGGTCCCATCTACCTAAGAATGCGTAAAACCAACCCTGACTAAGTCCCTCTTTAGCTTGGACTTTCTTGCCAATAGACCTAGCATAGTCGGCTGCCATGTATTGAATGTCACTTATAGTGTATCCGTAACCAATACTAGCCATGTAAACAATATGGTCCGCAAGCTGCTTTTCTTCTTCACTGGAGAAAAGTCTTTCAGGGCCTGGTTTGCAATCAAGTTCTACATTATGCCTTGTTCTGTCTCGCAATGTTGATTCAGGAACACTGTAGACTCTAGATGCCCTGTAGACAGACATTCCTGATAAGGTGGCCTTGAAGGCTCTTTTCAAGTTTTCCCTATCATAGGGTTTCCTTTCCTTGCTTTGCTTTGTTTTCTAGAAAGAAATAGAAAAAAAAAACAATTGAAATATCAATTCATAGAGGGTCAAATAGTAACTTTTTAGTTGGATGGAAAAAATATAGTAGTGTTGAGCCTATAAAAATGTATAGCAGTGTTCAATCTATCAAAATGTATAGCAGTGTTCAGCCTTCAAATGGGCGGAGTCAATGGCAGCTATTTACATGGCTGAAAGAGAGAATACTGGCAGACGATTTATAACAACTGAAGAATTTAGTTAAACAAAATAGAATTTTTTTTGAAATTTTTATTTAAATTTAAAGTTAACATATTTTATCAGGTAATTAAGCATTTACTTACCAAGATTTTACTCATTGTTGGTCATAAAATTATTTTTTTATTGCAATGAAAAATGTAGGTCACCCACATTGACAGGTAAACATCGCGTAGGTGGCGCTTTGCAAATACCGCGAGAATAGTGATACCGCGGAAATAGTGATGTCGAGTATACATCTCAAGTTTAGATTGCACTTTATTTAGGTACTGTGGCAGGTGACCACCATACACGGGTTGTCGTCTTTATTTTACCCAAGACAAACTATTTATTGGTGTAATTGATTGAACCCTTTAAAAAATTGGTTTGCCTTCACCTCAAATGACGACAATTTATGTAAATTCACTTAATAATAGTCAAAACATAATGTGTTTTGTAAGTGCATAAATATACAAAGCAACTAAAAGTATACAATTTCACAATTATTAGCGTTATAATATACAGTAGAGACACGCACATATAGTTTCGTGATGCTAGTATAAGTTGCTTTGAAAACATAACTTCAATTCAACGTAGATCTAATATTGCGATATAATTAGTTTTCTTTATTAAAATAAAAACTGATGGAGAAATAAAAGTACATTTCGCATATTTACGTCCCTTTCCATTCACTATAGCAGCGTTCACTCAGACGCTCTTTAACATTCGCGCTAAAAAAACGCTTATAATAGTAAACTCCGCCTTACTCCAGGAAAGGGATGTCTTATAGCCTCCACCTAAAAGTTACTGACACACCAATAGCAATTAAATGGACGAAGAATTACCGGCTGGTTGGGAAAAACATACTAGCAGATCATCGGGTAAGTATGACTGACATGGTGGTAACAGTTATAAAGTTTAATTTTTAGAGTTTAATTTAAATGATTCCAACAGATAAGTGTGCTTGAAGTTACAGTACATGAAATGGATAAAATAAAACCGTTTAAATTATAGACGCATGTGCGCGCGATTCTAAAGATCCTGTAACACATTTTTTCATGGTTTTATTTCATAAATATGTTGCTCAAATTAAGATTTGCCAATATTGTAAGTTCCAATAAGCATTATTTATAAAGATATTACCGAATATCTTTACGATATATTACATTACGATATATATTTATATGAAATTAATTTGGCATTACTCTGATTAACAGTTTGGCCTACATACATTTGAAGCATAAAATTGACTAAGGGCAAGATGATACTGTATGATACTGACATTAAAGACGAATTTCATTTCTGAAATTGTGGGAAGAAGTTCTTTGTTGATAAAATAATTTGATAAGTTAGATTATAATTACTGGTTTCCTAGCAGTTTCCGTCTCCTAGCAGTTTTCCGGACGTTTATCATTTTCGTCCAGTACAGTCTATTTTTACCAGTAAGGCATCCACATTACTTCATCAATCAGAGAGACATTTGTTTTCTTTGCTAAACAGCATTTAAAATAGTACAACGATATATATGTTTGAAGTTTTGCCTGTTATATAAAGTTACATAAGAGAACTTGCGACTTTCAAAAATAAGCAACACCTGGGGAATTCTAGTTTGAATATCCATGCGCAATAACTAAGACCCCATTTTAGGTAAATCAATACTTCAGATAATATTTTTGCAGACGACACGGAAAAGGTTGGGAAGTTCTGTTTGTCTGACAAAACCATCTTAACATTGCTTTATGGTACTGAATTATATTCAAAATAAAAAAGGTCCGGAAAACTGCTATGAATTTTTGAATAAAGTTGAAAAAAGGTGATACATTTCAGGTCTATATTCAAATAAAAAAGTAAAATGAAAGTGCAACATTAAACACATGGCAATGCTTGACAGGTACCTAACTTTGTCCTGTCAAAGTTTTGTACCCCTCCGTAGACTGATTTTTATTTTATTTGTTAAAAAGTGCGATTTTTGGCCGGAAACTGCTAGGAAACCAGTAAATGTGTCAATTATTGAAAGTCTTTTTTTTCTCATTACTAGAATGTTTGTATATTAATCTGCATGTACCTGTGAAAGTTTCAGCATGTGTTGACAGTATAGAACTGTTCACTAATATGGGAAGAATATGTGTATTTAGCAGCCGGATAGCTTAGTAAAGCCATGGCATTGGTCAACAGTTTGATTTCTGGTCATACACATTTGTCTCGCCCTGCGACACCAGTATTACAGATCTGTGCTTCCTTATTTCCTTACCAAAGTAACTTACTGGTGTCCGATAAGATTGTCTTAATTTTCAAATTTCTTTCAGCTCTATATTATTATTAAATATCTGAAGTGTATGACACTATCACAGTGTAAAGATTTTAATCTCTATAAATTTCAACAACAGAGTTGACTAGTTTTTGTTAGTCGGCATTTATTCCATTAAATCAGTCCAGCCTCTCTTGTTAGATTTAATATCATTAAATAAATAAATGCTGACTAACAAACACTAAATTATACAAGATTAATCCCACTCTTGATGTTTTATGTTAAGTGTCATTCCCAGTTTTCAAGGAACTCCACTGAGACTAGAGCTGTCATTGATTCAGTGCAAAGCATATCAACGATATATCGATATCAAGTAACTAAAATCAACGATACACCGATATATCGATAATATCCTATACTCACTTGTCTGTCATTCATTTTCATACCTGTTTCAATGATTTCAGTCAAAAACATGTTCTGTACAGTGTCTTGTCCACTGCATGATTTTTTCTAGACAATATTATTTGTCACCATTGCTATGAAATAATTCCACTATATAACAAAAGCATCACATTTGATATAAATAATTGTTTCTGCATATATTTTGGGTGAATTGTATAATTTCTAGACATTTAATTTATAAGTCAAAAGTATCGATTTTTTAAAATGTGTATCGATTATTGATCGACAAAAAAATATCAACGATACATCGATATTGTCGATATCGATGACAGCTCTAACTGAGACCCAAAAGCCTTAAAACATTTTTAACTTTGAGATCGCTCAACTGGGGCACTTAAAACAAAACATTACAATAGATTATACATAAATATACTTGGTATTAAATTGATGAATTAATCATAATCAATATTTTGATCAACTATTTGAAAAATGGGGAGAGCTAAGGTACTTATCCTGGCCCTAGTGTCGCTGTAAAACTTTGGTCAAATTTTTGAGTGCAAGATGGTATCCAAAACTTTTGAGGGAATGGGTTGACCTTCACACACTTGTTCTCTATCATTATCTTTCATGATGTTCCATACATCTTAGTTACCCTTTTGTTACCCTTTTACAAAGTTATGCCCCTTTTCTTACTGTCAAGAACTGATAAAAGTCATGCTTGCTGTCTTACGGACAGCTTTTTGTGTGTGTGAATTTAAGTAGTTTTGAGTCAAGATTGATAGAAAATTAAAAAGGCTTTTAATTTTTGGGTCATTTTGCACAAACTGGAATGAGCAAATGATTTGAAATTGTGTCCAGGTTACATCAAATGGTACACAAATATTGAAAAATATTTTCAGTGAGGCCTTTTGTGTCAAAAAATCTCAGTGAAACCGTTTCAGGTATTTTGCATGCATTTTGTACATTTTTAAAAAAATCATCATATATAAGATTAATTGTCAACAACTTGTATTAATTAATTTTGTTTATATCTTATAATGGTAAGATTTGATTAAATTAATTTCTTAATTGGTTTTCTTTTCAGGGCGAGATTACTATTTGAATATATACACCAAAGAAAGCCAGTGGGAACCTCCAAGTGGCCCAGCAAAAAAGAATATGTCTAAAGTACAGTGTTCGCATCTTCTTGTAAAACATAAAGACTCGCGTCGACCATCATCATGGCGCGAGGAAACTATAACAAGATCTAAACAAGATGCAATCAAAATACTGGAAGGTATTTATCTTTCCCTTGATGAATAAAATAACTGTATATTCCAGTAAGGTATACTGGTGAATTGGTTTCTGTTCGTAACTTCTGCACAATAGGATTTCAAAATAAATTAAGTTAGCATGACTGCCTTGAGTAGAGGATTTGAAAAATGCATGAGTCAAAGGTCAAGGTCACAACAAGGTATTGACCTTGGTGTAGTTTATCATATTGTGTTAAGTATATTTGAGTTTGTGTCTGATTTATGAATTCTGCATGCAAATTAAGATTTGAAAATTTATATGGTTTATATGAGTTCTATTATAAGTAAATAATACATGTGTACCATATGCAAAACCCAGGCCCCTAGGTCAGTGGTCTAAGGCTTAAAGCCTTGCATACAATTAAGATTTGTGTATTTCATATACTTATAAGTGTAGTTTTGTGGTCCATAGCTTCTGAACAATGAATGTATGTTGGATTTCAACATCTATTGTTACACATTATCACCATTGGTTGACAATTATTTTCATGCAAGACACATGCCATTATGTCAAAGGTAAAGGTCACAGCAAGGGATTGCACAGTTTCACAATGGGGTCATTATCCTAGAATAAAGAACTCAAAATGACATGTTAAAGGGAGTTAATTTATAGATGGAATTAGTTTCCATATAAATGGTGTTTGATAGATCAGATAAATTGTTATAATTAATCAACTGTCTTCTTATTTTCCGTTTGTCATTTCAGGGTACAGAGATCAGATAGTTAGAGGAGAAAAATCGTTTGAAGACTTGGCTTCACAGTTCAGCGACTGTAGCTCCGCTAAACGAGGGGGTGATCTTGGTCCTTTTGGTCGTGGTCAGATGCAGAAACCATTTGAAGATGCAGGATTTAGCCTGCAGGTTGGAGAAATGAGTGGCATAGTGGATACAGACTCTGGTGTTCATATCATTAAAAGAACTGCTTAATGCTTACATATAACATGATAAATACATTAGCACAAATTTGGAGTATAGATTATGGTTTTCTTTCCACACAGAAATTGGGATTCTCTTTTCAATTTTCATCAGCTTTTTAAGATATTGTGATCATACATTGTTTTTTTTGTTCAGCTGTCACACATTAATATCTAAAAATGTTAATAAATTACTCAGTCACTTAGGGTAAACTATGATATTCTTGTCAATATTATGTTAATTTAACCAAGGTTTCTGTTATCTTGGCAAATATCAGCTGATAGGCAACTGGGCATGAACAATATTTGCATAATAACTTCATTTCTTAAGAGATTTCAACCAAACATTCATACTCTGAACTATGGTCATTAAGTGGCCATGGGCAATTTGTTGTGGGTTTTTAAATTTGATGGAATCATGTCTTATGGTCTTCTATATTACTATGCGTGGGCTTGTGATTCATTTTGGCAGATTAACATCCCTTTGTTGTTGGTTTTTAGTCCCCTACCGGTTGAACCGGAGGGGACTTTAGGTTTACCCTCCGTCTGTCCGTCTGTCCGTCTGTCCGTCTGTCTGTCTGTCTGTCAGTCCGTCAGTCCGTCCGTCCACAAAACTGGATCCCGCGATAACGCAAAAAGTACTGAAAATATTTTTATGAAACTTGATATATGGATAGATGGCAGTATGGAGATTATGCACGTCTTTTTATTTTGTTCCTATGTTGAAAATTCTGGTTGCTATGGCAACAAATAGTCTGAAAATATGGCAAATTTAACACATAAACTGGATCCAGTGATAACTCAAAAAGTACTGAAAATATTTTTATGAAACTTGAAATATGGGTAGATGGCAGTCTGGAGATTATGCACATCTTTTTCTTTTCTTCCTATGTTTGAAAATTCTGGTTGCTATGGCAACAAATAGCCTGAATTTCAAGATTTCTGATTTTAAATTTTTCAGTTTTTTCACTATAATGTTCTTTATTTCTTAAGGTGTTTACTTCAAACTTTAAATATAAGTTTCTGGTCATCAACCACATCATATGTGACAAGGTTTATAACTCTAGCACAAAAATATCAGTATTACCTCCCTTGAACTTAGATTTTTTAGGGGAAAAAATGTTGTCTTTTTTAAATAACTTCTTTATTTCCTAATGTATCTACTTCAAACTTCATATATATGTTTCTTATTATCACTCGACATTTTTGAGAAGGTTAAATACTCTAGCAAGACTATTTCCAGAATTATGTCCCCCTTGAACTTAGATTTTTTTCGAGAAACTGGTATTTTCACTCCAACTTCTTCATTCCTTATAGGATTTACTTTAAAATCCCACATCGTAATAATATGACAAGGTTGTATAAACATAATTTCCTTACTAAGCATGGAAACTTAACACATTACTGTGATATAGACAAACTTATTTTATTATGTTTTGTGGTCGATATTTTCAAATACAGACTTCATCCTCAAATTCATTATAAATGGCAATACACAGGAGTGTATGACAATTAAAGAACTTTTTGAGGGACCGGTAGGGGACTACTGTATTGCCCGCAATACTATCAAATGCTTGTTTTTTATTTTCTTCACATGTCATATACAGAAATACACAGAAATACATTTTTGAACTTTCAAACGGTTTCAGTCAAACTTTCAATGGTTAAAATAGCCATTGTCCGTATAGTTATTTCAAAATATTAAATATTTACTTCTATAGTTAAAATGCCAGTTTTAGAAAAGGGGTTATTTTTTAAAACTTTTAGTGAAAGTATTTTGATAGGCAAATACAATATACATGTATTCATAAGAACTCTACAGCAGGATTGCTTTATTATAACATTACATATTTGTTGTTAAGGTGTGTTTCAGTATAGTCTGTGCTTGGTGTATTTTGGAAAAGTCTGGCAATTTTATTTATCTTTGGAACATAGAACTAAATACATCATCAATTATTGAACTGAACAGTTGGGTAATGTGACATAATTTAAAAAAAAGTATTTACAAGCTTGATCATAAAATGCAAGTTACTTACAAAACTTACTGTTTTACAATGAAGATGTCTTGATATTCAACAATTATTGTTTACACTGTGCATATATTTACAGTCATTAAAAATGGAACAATGTTTATATATGGTCCAATCATAATCATATATATATTTGTATGTCTTTTTCATTTTTCAGATCATTGTTTTCTATTTCATTTGCCTGTAGTATTTGTAATTTCCTTCTTACACAAGTAAAATTATAATTTACTTACGTCTTTGTTATGCTTGATTCCCTTAAAAATCTTTTTTTTATTTTCCTTTAATCCCTCACTGAAATATCACATACTGTCCTTTGTCTGTATGCTTATACTTTACACAACGTGACATAATCACTAGGGTAGATGTTATGGAAACTTCATAGGAAGTCTTGGAATGATCTAATAAGATTTCACACTGTAGAAACTAAATTTTTCAACTCTTGAAATTCAAATGACACTTGCTTAAAATTTTAATCTTTGCCAAATGGACTTGTTCATCTTTCAATGTAGACAAAATCAATCCTCATTTTAGCGGAAATTTCAAAATACAGCATGTACCCTCTCAATCTGACTAAAGTTCAGATCTACTTATTTCTTACATGTAGATGCAGAGCATTATTTAAGAGCTGCTTTTAATAAGATTGGTATCCTGTGAATAGTAAGCAGTGCAGATGAATGTTGGCTAATTTTGTTCTGCATTGGTTGCATAGATTCAGTCCCTATCATCGGATAATGTTTGGATATGTGACATCCGGGAACAAATACTAGGTCCCTCTTGCAAATCACTGAAAAATCTTGTTGACGCTTTACAAATCACATCTTTAAGTGGACCTTCATATACATTTTATTGTATGCCAATTTTTAGAAGAAATAAGGGGGATATTAAAATGAGATTTTCAATATAAAACATCTATGGTAGATCATACAGGATTCTTACTTCTCTATACATTATTTAAAATCGTTTGATGATCGCCTCTGATACAGTATGCACTTAAATTGAATTGTCAGCGACATTCCTAGATGACCCTTCAAAATTCAAGTTTAGCTCTCTATCAAATTTTCAATGTTTTGCGGTCACATTTTTAATTACCTGATAGAAGACCGTTTATTTTATTAAATATTTCCTATTTACTGAGGAATTCTTAAAACCTGCATTAAAAGAGTTACAAACTATTTTAACGTAAGTTTAAGTAAAAACTTGCGAACGTTTTGTGAAACACACGATATACGTAAGTTAAACGTAAGCGTAAAGTTATGAAAATACTTACGAAAAACTTACGCAATGTTAGTAAAACGCTTCTCTGGTCCTTAACTCAGCCATTCGTAAAGGGATTTCCAAATAGAAACCAAACTGAAGCAGTGTTAATTAAGTCAGCTACTTTATCTTTATATACTGGTACTAATTTTTAGATAAACTATAAAATAATGGAACTGAGCTTAAAGGGAGGAAAATGCTGGGGAAGAAAGAATAAACCAGTTGAAGAGGTTGAATCTTCTTCCAACATTAGACTGTGTCAGTTGATGTTAATACAGCTCGTCTACGTTCTAGAATCAAAGACTAATATTTAGTCAGTCAATGAAATTATGTCTTGCCTAGGTGATCATCTCTGTTTCTTTAATGACACACTATATTTCAAGACGTTAACTGGTATGTTTAAGTTTCAGGGTTAATATCACTTTTCCGTGAGAGAATGCACCACTGATTAGGTATATCTGGAATCAGCATATGACTTCTAGCATTTCGAGAACAAAATTTTTTTCTTCCTCTTTTATCATAGTACAGACTACGTAACTATGGTGTAAAATTGTACTGCAGTTTATCATCAATCAATTACGAATTAAAACAAACAACTCTGATGTCTTTACTTTCTTCATTTATTCATTTTTTTTTTCAACAATTTTGAAACTACATCAACTACATCAACTACAGACAAAATATATCTTTAAGACCATAAAATTGATACAAAATGTGACTGTATACTAATTCAAAATTACGTTTTACATCATTTAGTATAGCACAAATTTCAATTTTAAAAATCTAACATCAACATTTTTTTTTTTTGTCCCAATTTTGTAAAACATGATATATGAAAAATAAAATGCCAGTGACTTTATTAACAAGAAAAACATACATGTACAGTATGTAATTTTTGTATGTTTGCATACATACACTGTTCTGTAAATTATACATAAACTATCAAGTAGCAGGTATATTATTCAGTCAAAGCAAAAATTGTTATACTTTCTTTAAACTTAATTTTGCATTTTTATGTTTTTATGTATAAAAAAGGAAATTTTAATCAAAACAGCTACAGGAAAAGTTTAATTGATGCCATACTAGATCCTTTCTTTTAATCACTAAAATAAATATTCAAATGAAAATAGTGTCAGGGAACAGCATAATGTCTTAGAAGGCCAATCATGCATCGTTTGTTTCACATACAACACATAGGCCTACATTCTGTTCAAATAAAGATATATAAAACCTGTCCATCAAATATGATGTAAAAATATTTGTACACAATTGCAGTTTGATTATTAATTAAAAACTGATTACATTATTTTCTATTTAATATCCATGACTGTGCATATACATAATGTATCTGACAAGCTTGCCTACAAAAACCAATAGATATGACTATGATATAAGTACAAGCACCTATACTAACTACTGGTTGAAGCAAGATTAAACGTAATTTTCTTCATTCAATACTTAATTCTTTTACCTAAATCTGTAGTTGCAGGATCATGATTAATCAACAAAAAGGGGTTGGGGTGTAATTCAGGAAAACAAAACAACAAATAAAACTTATGATAGTAAAAATATTAATAAATACTATGACCAGAGATAATTTATCACTTAACAGACTGAATTGTATTCAGTCTACTTTCTTCAAGTTGGCAGATTTTGTTGCATCATAAAGACTTAGCTGCATTTAGTATATTGTTACTGTGTGGGTCATCTTTACAACTGTTTACTGGTGATATTTTATTTCTACATCATCAGCACTTTATTCACATGGTTAATATTAGCACTATCTTCTTGTGAATATCAGCCTTATATTTTACTGAATCTGCACTCTATTTTAGCTAATCAACAATGGTTTCTAGTAAATCAACACTATATTAAAGTGAATTAGCATTATTTCCTACTGAATTAGCACCATATTATAGTGATTATAAAGCATCAGCACTAAAACTTTTGGATATTTTATTCACTGTTATAAGGAAGCACTAATAGAGCAACAAGATTTTTGATGAATGAACATGATGAAAAATCATTCAAACATAAAATATACAAAGTTTGGTGGTGATCTGTTATTCATAGAAAACGTTTTTGTATCATTAAAAGCTCTAGAGAAAAATTAAACATGAAAGGATATGTTTGTTTAGTTGGGGTTTGTAGTAACAACAACACTGTAAAGGTAAAATCGTGAAATTCCAATTTTTACTGCTGGTGGAAGACCTCGGGTACTCGTTCAAGCTGATATATTAATTTTAGTAACAGACAAGAGGGGCTACTGGCCCAAAATTACTCACCCGAGGACTTGTGAACTAAAGGTCAACTAACAATGTTTCATGCCAAGTATCTGTACCCCAGTCTTGTTTCAGAGTAGATGATTTTTGTTTCAGAGTAGATGATTTTTAAAGATCTTGCTATACAAAATACATGTATTCAGAAAATCCATGATCCCCTGGGACAGGTCAAATTTTGAACCAGTGAACAACTTTGATAGGTGACCATTAAACGATCATGACTAAGATGAGTGGTCAAAATCAAGTAACTGGTTTCAGAGCAGTTTTTGTTTAAAGCCATTACTCATGACGCGTGATGATTGACGACTGACATAGGGAAATCACAAAAGCTCATCATCCACTTAGGTAGCTCTGGTGAGCGAACAGCTGATCTCAGAGGACAAACTACAAACTCAGTTTATAAAGCTTACTATACACCTCTGAAATGCTAATAAAAAATCTATGTAAATATAGATAAAACTATAAACTAATAAAATATAAACTAAATTCTTCATGTAGATACTGCAATATATATCTTTAACAGTAAAAGAACTGTAAAACAACTTATTGCACAATATTGTACACTGAATCAATAAATAACTAACCTGTATAAATAATATCAATGAAATTATCCTGTACATTACTCCACAGGAATATTTGTAATTATATGGAGAGAAAAAAAAATACATCAAATTTCACAACTATTGAAATCACTATACATGTATATAAGAACAATTATGTGAATATGGTTAACAAGGCTCTAGATAAAATTATATCATTAAAATATTCACAAACACTTTTTTCATAATAATGAAAAAATAAAAAATATTTATAACAATTTCAATGAAGGATAGTTTTGACACATTATAATGTAGATGGTAATATTAAAAAAAAAGAAGCTATAATTAGTACAGCTGATGAATAAAAATATTTTTTAAGACTTTGCAATGACTGAAATGACCATATAAATTCATGTATGTTTTTGTCTTTTTACAATTATTTTCAGCTAAACTAGGGTGTTTTATGGGTATTGGTTAAAAATGGCAGCCATATTGAAATGTATAAATACCCCATGTACATAAACTATGTTTGACACTACTAAAGTAGTAACAGCATGAGTAGTGAAGGTAATGTACACTAACATGATGCCATGATTTTATTCCTTTGTCTATAACTATTTAGGAGAATAACAAGCTTTTTGTTGACAAGAATGAATCCATATACTTTAAAATCCTGATCATCCTGCATGCCTCCACATGAACCTTTGCAAAAAGCATGGTACCAGACATAACACCGACCATCCCAGTTATCTTGGATAGTCACACGCTATTTTTTTTTTAATTTTGATAAAATTACAAAAATCAGCAGACAATTTTAGCAGATAAAAACATACATTTGCCAACATTATAAAACATACATTTGCCCAACAAAAATAAAATGTTTTTAAACTTTGATTCTTCATAAACATATTTTGCAACAGTTTCAACAATTTACAATAGGAAATGATATCAAACCATAAGGTTTTGTGAACCAATAAATTTAGATAAATACACAGACACTGTTATGATAATATCTGGTCTGTTATTACAATGTATAAGGCATTACACACCAACAAATAGCACCGGGTCACCATTTGAGGGTTACTCTACAGTAATGAAAATGTTTGGTTATATATTAGGAGGAAACAGAGAGACAATCGACATTTGAGACAGATTTGGTTATAAGGTTAGCCATTCCCATCCAGTAAAAACAAACACTATACAAGAACATATTGAGGAGAATTTAACAAGTTATAAGACTGAAGTGACATTTGTCAAAATACTAAGGTATGATTTAATGCAAACTTTCATGGGTTTTTTTAAGTCTTGCATATAACGTTATGATATTAACAGTACAAAAACAAATTAGGCTTCAGGGTGCCATTTTATGTAACACTACAAAATCAAATATGGCCACCATTTTAACCAACACCCTTGTACCCTACTATATCCTCCAAGCTAAATGTACAACTTAAATGAACACAGAATTTCCACTATCTAAACTAATTATACTATATGCTAATTTTATCCTGAAGCATGGCAAACAGACTATAAACTGATAAGTTTTAAAAAAGGTGACTAGATTAATATAATAAAACAAGAGACAGGTATGTATAAACATGCCTCAATTATATTGCACTGTCCAGCAGCACCCTAGAGTATTATATCATATAACACAATCATCTTCTATAATCACAACACTAATAAAATATATTTCATTGACGTATATTTCACTGATGTATTTTTCACTGATGTATATTTCACTGATGTATTTTTCACTGATGTATATTTCACTTATGTATATTTCACTGATGTACATTATATTTTCTGTGGTAACTAATTTACTTATGTATATATTATATTTCACTATAGTATATTTTACTGATGTGTATTTCATTTAAGTTTATATCAAGGATGTATATTTCACTGAAGTATATTTTACTGATGCATATTTCATTTAAATTGATATCAATGATGTATATTTCACAGAAGAATATTTTACCGATGAGTACATGTTAAGGTCCCGCAAGGGGTTCGACATTATTGGAAGATATTTCACTATTGAGTATATTTCACTGTTGAATATCTCACCCTCATTGTGCTGTTTTTCCGTGTTGATCTTTCTTCAAGTTTGGCCATAAAATTGGCCATAATTATACATATGTATCTGATTACTTAAATTAACTCCAGCCAAAAATGAAAACTAATCACATTCAAAAACAAGAGAGCCATGATGGCTTCAAGTCACTCACCTGGGTATCAAGATTGGGGGGAAAAACCCTGCCCTCTAAGCACACATAAAATTTGATATAGAAATCTTGGCAAAGAATAGTTTAAGCTTCTTTCTGTGAAATTTTACAAAAATCTTACCATTGTCATCAATTAGATTTTTAAACAAAATAATATTCTTTTTTATATGAAAAAAAGTCATCTCCCTTCGGCCATCCTTAAAAAAATGTTTGTTTGCAGTAACCCGACCCAGAATTTTCAAGGTGGGTAGGTAGGTCGATTTTTTTTTTTTTTATTGAACTGTACTCCCAAATAAACATGGAATTTCAAAATGCTGGACAATATATGCTTTGATAATCTGGTAACAATTAATAAATTGATAACTGAATTCTAATTTAATAAGACATACATTTTATTTCTTCTATTAACCTTTAAAAGAACAAAAACAAAGCACAAGGCATAATTATCTGATTAAAAAAAAAATTTTTTTTATCCAGACCATGAAAAAAAATTTTGAGTAGGGGCAAATTTTGTGAGTCGGTCGCGTTACTGCAAACAAACATTTTTTTAAGGATGGCCTTCCCTATAAATCAAAATTATTTGAAATCTTGGTATTTACAAACAAGAGTTATGCATAATCTACAATGGTTCAGATTGAAAGACAATATGCAAAGGAAACACCCTAGGAAAATTTCCATGACTTAGTGGCTATGGGGGAGATGTATAGATTTTTTATAGGAGATGAAGTACAGACAATTAGTGATCACAATAATTCACCTGGAACATGTTATGCTCAGGTGAGCTAAAAAAAAAATCACAACTTCAGCTTAACAAGACTGTAAGTCTGTTTCCCAATTGTTTTGTTTTCTTTTTTTTTCTTTTTCAAAACTGTTCAGGGAATCAATCAACACTTATTGCACTACCTACTGCTATGACAACGATAGTTTCAGTCTTCGTTTACTTCGTTTTTTGCTCTGAGTTAGAGCATCTTGTTCTTTCTTAGTCCGTAACACAAAAGTATAATCACCATTATTGTTCATGGCATAAAATACATTGGCTTTCTCTGGGATCATCAACTCTGAAAAAAGAAGAGGGAAATCTATAGAATATATAGAATATATATAAGATTATGAAATATATCATTGGATTAGATAGAAGATTGGGAAATCCCAACCTGTGGATGATCAGTTCTGTCAGGAACAAGCTTGTTTGTCATAACATTAGTGTTTACTAAGAATTCAGTCTGTATTCCATAGTTGATGAAAAGCATGAAACTATATGTAAAGATTATACTAATTATAATCCAGTTAATTTGACAAAATATTCAATAAAAATAAAATATAAGGTTGTTTAAATCAAGAAGTATCATTATTACTGCAAACACATGAATGTTTACCATGCAGTGTCAATAATAGTGCTAATATTAGTAACAACTGGTAGCAAAGATATTTTCCCCCCTAGCTGTCAACAGTTTACTACAGTCAAGACTGTCATATGTGACTTTCCAAGGGATCTTCAGAAAAAGGTCGCATACGACAGGGAGTCTCTAAATACAGTCTCAATATCATCTATCTGTCTATATACCAATGTGACTTTAAGAACCTGTATGTTTTGTGATTGATATTGTTACTGTGTTCACGTATCTTGCAAAAAATATATATGGATATAATTATGCAAATAAAACCATTTTCAAACATCAAAGAATATGTAAAATGTTTATTGCAAATATTTGTGCACATTATATTTAATCAATAAATTACATGCATTGATTTCTTATTGGAAAATTTGACTTAGAATTTATAGAAAATAAAGTTCTAATTACCTCCCTTTAATGGCCTTTATTTACATGAAATGTTAAATTGGGTGATATCTTTCTAAATTATGCTTATTTGAACTTACAATATTGACAAATCTTAATTTGAGCATCATATTTATGAAATAAAACCGTGAAAAAATTGTGTTACAAGATCTTTACTGTAAACATATCCATATCCAAAGCTTTTTCTGGTTTGGTATCAATATTTTTTTCCGTATTAATTATGCAGCCATAGAAAGGTAACCAAAAAATCTTCCGTGGGCACTCTATAATTAAAAAAAAAATCTAACACAAGTCTTAACCCAGTTTACTCAGGTAGTACATTACACATCATGCTTCCCATGAACCGACGCTACGTCACTTGGTACCTGCATGTATCTACATGCTAACTGTGTAATTGAGATAGAGGTGTGTAGACTTTGTTTGCTACAGTGCTGGATTATAATTGGACTTAATTATTTTGGCCCTCTGGGTGTTATAATAGGTAATCTTTATCTGATTAACGGACAATTAAAAGGTGTGAAAGTCGTTTAAATCAGACAAAACATTGCATTGGGACCAGACAATTAGGGTCGCTTGTCACATATGACAGGGAGTCGTTTAATTCAGACCATTTATATAGGAAAATACGTTGGGAGTACTGAAACAAGGTCGGATAAGACAGGGAGTCGTTTAAATCAGGGGGTCGCTTAGGCAGTCTCGACTGTATATGGTTTTATAGAAAAATGTGTTAAATAACACAGTCTTATTTCACTCAGGGTAAAACTTAAACAAAACATACTCTAACAGGAAATTACAACTTTCAGGCATGTATTTACCGAGTACGTCAGGAAGAGCAACATATCTTACCTCCATCAGGAAGAGTTTGTAGCAAACAGTAATCCTTTTCCTTGCCTTTGATATCATATTTATCAAGGATTCTCTGTATGACTATCTTAGTATGGTCTGTGTTATGTAACTGGAAATTAAATATTCCTTTGCCGTTGTTTGTTATACCATAAACTATACAACTTAAAATCTAACTTTATCACATGTAAGTAATTATAAGTTTGTTTACTGCTATCAAGAACATAAATAAGTATCTAGTATGACAAAGTATGTTTATTTGACAGCAAATATTTCTTTTAAAAGATTCACCGGGTGTTCCGGTAATACAGACACTTTTTCAATGTACAAGTAATTAATAGAACATGACAGCACTTTTATCCTAAGACTGAATAAAGGTTACAACTACTTTACTTCATGCTCTGATAAGTGTCAGCATAAAACTTTCATAAAAAAAAAAGTACAATAAAGAAAAAAATTGTTTTTGTCTTGATAACCTTATATCAAAATTTTAATTTTTTACTTAGGTATCTTTTTAGATTCTTTGACCTTTAGCAACAGACTGAAACCATTTCATACAACTTTCGTAGAGGGCAAAATCTACAGTAATAATTGTGGTTCAAAACATACACCATGCTCACCTTTGAGCACTTTGTGTGTGGTTCCATGAAAGAGAAAGGGAGTTACAAAATAACTAATTATGCAGTAACTCAGACATTAAGTTGTGACTCGGACATGGAAGCAAAAGCAATGCTGAGAATTTTATCTCTCCTTATATTGATTAAAACTAAACAATGATTTTAACCATACTCTTACTATATATACAATATAAACCCGGAAATTGTGTCCGGTCATGACCATATCCGGTTTAGTGAGTTTTTACTGTATTACAAACATCTTTTAACATTAGTTTTCAAAAGTAAACAATTTATTTATTATTATTTAAGATACATACCATGATACTTTTGTAAACATGAGATTTTGGAGTAGCACCGGTTTCCAAGGAAACTTTAATAACACAGGCATCTGAGGATTTGAATGGTGTTGAGTTGTCGCTGTCGTAGGATTGTATAGACGAGGTAGACGATGAATGAGACAACTAAAATATAAAAAATCATTTATCAATCACTTCATGCTTTAAAACATTTGATCAAACCATAACCTGTTGAATTTTTTGCATGGATATGTTCTGCTTCCATTTTTGTCAAAATTTGGGATATCAAAATTGAAATTAAAAGCTGGCCAGTGAACAGTATGGTGTAAATGCAACTAGTACTGGTGAACTGCTTGACAGTCATCCCAGGAACGATGCGGTGGCTGAACTGTGCTCTGGTAAATTCAATGTTGCTTACTGCTTTGATCTGGAGTGAAAACTACCAACACCACCATCAGTGTAGAGCCAGGCCAGCCAGCATGTTTTGCATTCTGACCTAGCTCTATACTGGTGGCAAAGACTAACCACTTTAAGGTTCAGCAGGGTTAAACTCAATACTGATAACATAAAATATGCTCTAAACAACTGCTTTAAAAAGTTTTCTATTTTTCCAATATCACCTAACTGCTAAATAAAAACACAATTTCATATCAACATTTTTTACCTGTGACATAATACTTAGTATTAAAGATATCTGGTTTTGGTGACCATCTTGTTTAGAAAAATAAAACAAATCTTTTCTGTAAGAAAATCTCCAATTTTTTCCAATTTTAATGTTTAAATGTTTCAACAAGTTTAATTATCACATATGTTAGTTACATAAGCACCTTGTGTTAAAGTAAACTATAACTAATGGTATGATAAACATAATTACCTGTGCATTTGGAGAAACAGGAGAGTCCTGATTAGAACTACTGGCTACACTTGATTTATCATCCAAGCTCAGCCCTGCACACATAAACAGTGACAGTCTGTTTGTGTCAGCTTTACCTGGTCGTTGACTGAAATCAACAATGCATATTAATGAAGGAAGTGGTTCAAAGACTTTGCTTGTTTCATTATTTAATGTTTGGTTACCAAACTAACCATGGATTATTGCTAACTAACCATGGATTTACTACTGATACCACAAACTTGAACACTTGATTAGCACTGGTCTAATGAATCTGGTCTCTGAACCCTTACAATCCATGAATTGTATAAGTTTGACCCCTTATGACGCAACACAATCAACATCAGTTGCAACAGCTTATTTTGCAATGTAGCAAAAATACATATGTTTATACTGTAGACAAATATTAAATCAATATTACATTAACTCACTTACATGATAAATCACGTTAAGATCTATGAATAACTGTTGGAGATTTATAAATAAGGCAAACTTTGAAAACAGTCCATTATTTAGGTACACCGTCAAGTCCAACTTTATTATACGAGGGTTGTTCAAAAGGTAATAGGACTGGGAGTCTTGCGTATTCAAATTTCATTCAATTTAGAATATTTTCATATGTACAGCAATCGTAAAATGTTTTCTACAAATGAAACATACGTTTTTAATCTATTGTGCTAAACGCGCTTTTCCTTTGCTATTGAATAACCATGGTAACACGCACCCAGCGCAGCACATAAATATAGTTATTGGAGCTAAGTTCTACTTCTAATTTATTCATAAATAACTATTTGTTTTCCCCTGTATTCCATCAATACGTTGACATATATTAATGTGACATTATGTCCAAATTTGACGTCATTCGGACATGAAATGGCCTATTTATTAAGTTTTGAACAGCAGCGGTCATAGCGTAAGATGTAGAAATATGACATTTGTTAACAAACAGAAAATGTGTGCCATCGTTAAATTTTGCCAACAGATTGACTATAATCATTCAAATACACACAAAATGATTAAATAAACTAAGGACAATTATCCTGCCATCAGGACACTTGTTTTCAGCTGGCACAAGCAATTCAAAAACTGCAAATACACGATCACTAACGAGAAAGGGCGAGGATGAAAGTTGAAAATTGACGGGACGTTAGTGACGTCAATTGCAAAAGCGCTACAAAAGAATCCACGGTAAACGGTACGCGAACTGTTTATCGTTGTTTGTATCTGCTTCGGGTCTACTTATTCAGTTTTAACCAAAGGATTGTAAATAAGAAATTTGTTATAAACACTATTTTATTGTATTTAACTAGATATACGTGTAATCAATAAATTAATGTAATAGTTAACGGTAATAATTAGTAGTGTTTCCCGAAAACTTGTTTTAATAAACGATAGACTGTGCTAAGTAGAAAAGGATACTTTTCAATTGAGAAATATCTTTATTGTTCTGTATATAATCACATTGTTTTAAAAACATACAATGACATGAGTAAATTAATAAAATGAATTGCTTTTGCTTTAACATTTTCAGTCCTATTACGTTCCAAGGTTACTAAAAAAAACACGAGAGACCCGGAGAATGTCCGGCTATCGGGCATTTATTTTTTTTTATTTTTTTTGAAACAGTGGAACGAGAATGTGATCGCTTTTTTCTTGCTTCATCTCCACGTATGAGGCAAAGTAAAAATTACATGACTCATACACCTAGAGACTAGGGAGACTACTTTCAGAAAGAATGACGCTTATTATAATTCGATTTATTTTACGACGTCATGAACGTCAATTATTTTATTGTTAGCGTGCGCCGCGTTTCGTACCCCTTGTCATTTAAAAATTTCACAGAAATTTCATTTGTTTACATTTTGTTTTGATTTCTTCACTGTATATAGAAAACATGTTCCAATATTTGTCTCATGTAAAATTTTGTACGTGAATTTAAAAATGTGAACAGTAGAGCTGCAGTCCTATTACTTTTTGAACAACCCTTGTATTTATGTCATTGACAGGTTAATGGACATATGCATACTTACGAACAGGTAACTGAAAAGATCTTTTGCATAATTCAAGTATTTAATTAAAACAGTATGAAATTGTATGACTCATTAAAACTTATATAAATTTATATACATAATAGTAAAATAACCTGGAAGATTTCTTCTTCAATTTTGCACCTCCATCAGCAGCTGGTTCAATGGCACAGGAGAGATCATAACTGTAAATAATGGAACAAATATAGTATAACTAACACAATGCAGATCAACCAAACATTTTACTTACATTAAAATTATTACAATCAACAAAGATTAAATATGATATTTCTTTTTTGAAATTAAAACTAACAATCTTCCTGCAAAGATATAAATGTAAAAGTAATGGGTTATAAACATTGAGCTAGGACAAATTTCAATTGAATATCTTCTGTCATTGATGAGATCTGGATCTGCAGAAATAAAAATCACTTATAGTAACAAGAACATCCAAGCACAAATTCTTTGGATAGCCTCACTAATCTTTAAATAGTCAGGTAGCATGGTCGAGTGGTTTATACGTCAGGCTAGTAATCTAATGATCGCTAGCCCTATAGGTTCAAATCCCATCAGGGGTAAGTCGCTGTTTCCTTGAGCAAGAAAGTTTACACTCATTGCTCAATTCTGGTTGCTTACAGAAATAGATTCAAAAATATGTCAATAAGCTTATAACTTCCTACACAATCAAACTACTATGAATTCTGTATAAACCAAACATATAGGCTTTAAAGTTGAGGAATATAATTTTATTAAACCTGATGAAACAAGGACAGATATATAAACCAATACCTTTCATTTTCATCATAAACACGGACAGCATCAAACCATGACCAGAATTGTGAATCTTCACGAAAAGTGTAGATTTGTGACGCTGACTGCAACAGCTTAATCTGTGCCAAAACTTCAAACTCTTTCCGTCGTTTCTCAAAATTAATGAGAGAATCGGTGGTGTCTGGTATGGCTGTATCTATCATGGTAAGGTCCGTGAGAAACGTACCTAGGTATGGTACCGTCCCCTGTACCACTCCCTATATGTCAATAATAATCATTGATTTAGTTTAAGTATATAAAGTAATAATCATTGATTTAGTTTAAGTATATAAAGTAATAATCATTGATTTAGTTTAAGTATATAAAGTAATAATCATTGATTTAGTTTAAGTCTCTTAAGAATCAAAGATTTTACAAATAAAGCAAATTAAACAAGCTGTTGACAGACAAAAACATTGTAGATGTACACAGAAGATATAAATTTCAGTTAAATAGACTACTGGCAACTCAAGCTTAATGCTACAGAACCACACACCAATGTTTACAAAAAGATTGAAATAGTTTTCAATTATTCCAGGATAAAAATGCCAAAACTTAATAAGCTGATATTTCTTGGAGCAATACATATATAAATCATCTAGTTTCATGTAAATGTTTAATTTTTAATGTATAAATCATCTAGTTTCATGTAAATGTATAAATCATCTAGTTTCATGTAATGTTTACAAAAAGATTGAAATAGTTTTCAATTATTCCAAGATAAAAATGCCAAAACTTAATAAGCTGATATTTCTTGGAGCAATACATATATAAATCATCTAGTTTCATGTAAATGTATAAATCAACTAGTTTCATGTAAATCATCTAGTTTCATGTAAATGTATAAATCTGTTGTGTAATTTTTTATCTTTTGATGATAAATTTATTTTACAAATGCTAACCACCATGTGTGGGAGAAAAGCTGGTCAAAAATAAAACAAGGAAAATCACAAACTGGTTTTAAAAGTTATATAACAGGAGCAAAAAATCTCCAATACTAATTCGCCTACTATGCACTGAATTTAGGAATAAATTTATCAAAATATGGCACTAAAGATACTGAAGATATGTATGCTTTAAGCCTTACATTATCAATCCATGATTGACGCTTCATACGGTTTCTTCTTTGTAAAGTTTTATTTGCAGAATCCACATCAGGAAACTTGGCTGTTGCCTCCTATAAAAGAAAATACAGTCAATTATTTATTGTTTCACAAATGATGTTTGTTAATATATATGTAAGTTAATATATTGGTATTCAGAAGAATGAAATTATTGTGATTGTACAATTTGTTCATAATTTCGTCCAAATAATTCTAGTGTCTTAACATTTTTTTTTTAAATTTCTATCAAAATTAAAACTATCAAATACCTAGACTAAACACCTATCCCTGAACACTAATCATACCCATACCAATATGCTTTAATAGAAGCTGATTTGTATATTGAATACTACTTAAGCCAATGTTTAGGGGTGGGGTGGGGGGAGGCATGAGAGATGATGCATCATTCATTATCTCCCTTCAACAGACTATCAAACTGAGTCTGTAATTTTCACCTGTTCTACTTTTTCATTGCTCTCAATGGATCTCTAAAGGGAGTGGTGGCCTAGTGGTAAAGTGTCTGCCTCACAACCCAGAGACCATAGTTTTGAGCCCTAATCGGGTCACGACCATGTATCTTCATATGACACCAGTATTTTATAAATCAACAAATGGACAAACTGGAAAATCTATATGCCCCCAACCCCCAATTAGATGGTGCATTAAAATACAGCAGGTTATGGCTTAACAACATAAAGTCATCTTGAAAGATGTATAGATACCTTCATAAGGAGATTTCTGGAAGCAAGCTGATTGTTTTCATTGGAGAAAATCTCCGACAATTCTTCAAATACTGCCAGACTTTCTCTGTAATAAATAAACATAAGTTTCACATTGTTCTTCACTCTTTCTTACATACATGTCCTTTATACTTCACACATAGTATACAAGTAGTTTTTGACATTAATATTTTGTCAAATTTATATATCTGAAACTGACAGACAACCAATAACAGACAAACACTGATTATGACCAATATCTCATCTGAACAAAAACACAATGTGCTCAGTTTTAGTTCAATAAAGTGTTTCAAAGTCATGGTCTCATTAATAA